AACCAGCACCTTTCCTGTTTCTGGGCATTTGAATAGGTGTGTGTCATCCCTCCGTGAGGACAGAGAACTGTCCCCAGGAACTCAGGACAAATTAATTACCCAGCTGGGTAATTAAAGGACCAAGGTCACCTTCTGACTCTGCAGAGCCTCTTCCTCCCCGACAGGGGTTTTTGGTGGTGTGCCACAGCAGGGCTCCTCTGGCCACAGTCTCAGCATTGGCGAGATTAACATGATGATACCTCTGGCTCTGTGGCAGCGGCCCTTCCACCTTCCTCCCATAGGAGACCATGTTGTCTATGGATGGGCGGACACAAGGGTTTTCCTAACAGAGCCGCTGCTTTCTCACATAGGACCAGGGTAGAGGGTGGAGGAGGGCAGGGCCATGCCGAGCCTTGGTGTGGTACCCAGGTTTGCACATTGCTGTGGGCATCTGCATTGTCTGCTTAAACAGTGTCCCCCCTTCTCTGAGGGCACTGCTTATCTCCCTCTCCCCAGCCCCCACCAACCACATGGGTTCAGAGATGAGGTGAGGAGCCACAGGTGGGCCTGAGATCCAGGCTGGACCAATTGTAGTACTTCCTCATCCCACAGTGATTGGTCCAGGGATGGGCACGTGACCCAAGCCAGGCCAACCAGAATCCTTCCCCAGGATCTTTCTGAGGCAGTCTCCTCAAGTCCTTTAGTTGGAAAGATATGTGCTTAAGCCGGCCAGGAGAATGACTCTCAATGTGCAGGAAAAACCTTGGAAGGAGAGAATAAACAGAAGGTAACAGGTGCAGAAAGAAACAGACAAGAGTCTTGACAGGGCGGCCGAGCGCGGTGGCTCAAGCCTGTAATCCCAGCACTTTGGGAGGCCGAGACGGGCGGATCACAAGGTCAGGAGATCGAGACCATCCTGGCTAACACAATGAAACCCCGTCTCCACTAAAAAATACAAAAAACTAGCCGGGCGAGGTGGCGGGCGCCTGTAGTCCCAGCTACTTGGGAGGCTGAGGCAGGAGAATGGCGGGAACCCGGGAGGCGGAGCTTGCAGTGAGCTGAGATCCGGCCACTGCACTCCAGCCTGGGTGACAGAGCGAGACTCGGCCTCAAAAAAAAATAAATAAATAAATAAAATAAAAAAATAAAAAATAAAAAAAATAAAAAAGAGTCTTGACAGGGTTTTGAGGTCCTAATTCCAGTCAACTCCACAGCTGCCTTCTACCCCTGGCCTCCTGCCATTTGGTTTTGTGAACCACACTTGTAGCCAAGAACCTTGGCTAATACAAACTAGTATAATTCTAGAGCTACCCCGACTGACATCTCTCACTCATTTGGAAGTGGACAACCCAGAGTGTGATTTACCCAAGCCCCTTGACTTCTCCCCTTCCAGGGAAAGCCAAGGGAGTCCCACTTAGTCCTCAGGTGGCTGCAGTGAGCAAACCCTCAGGTAGAGGCTGGGGGACCAGCACCTGCTCCAATGCCATGGCCTTTTCTAGCAGTGAAGCACACGCATCTTGGCCTCTGACTTCTTTCAGTCAATGTTTTGTTCTGAACACACTCTCAGCACTGAGAATGTTCTCTTTCTTGTCTTTTAGGTAACTCCATGCAGGGCTAGATTCCTGGGTATGTGACCTGTGCTATCGCACAGGGCCGTATGCTTAGAAGGAACCCGTGTTTGGTTTCATGCTCTGCCGACATCTTGAAATTGTTATACATTTTGAATAGGGAATCTTGCAGTTTGATTTTGCTTAGAGTCCCACAGATTATGCCACTGGTCCCAGCTCTGTGCCATCCCTCTTGGTAGGATCTGTGATTCCAAGGAATTGCTCCAGTTTCCAGAACTCCTCTCCCAATCACCCTATTTTGTGTCTTCTTTACCTTAATGCCTCCCTGACTTCTATGGTCTTCTCCCCACCACACCCCATAGGTGGACTCTTTCCCCCAGAAGCCCACAGCCTCTGTGGCCTCATCTGAGCTGTGTCCATGCCAGCCACAGCTGGGGCATGGCTCCTCAGCTGAGCTCCATGTCAAACCAAAGCTGGATCCATTTTATTTGGAAGAATGCCAATTAGAGTGGCTTGTCTTGCTTCCACCCCTCAACCCCCGACATTCTGCAGTTCTGCCCCAAACCCCCTTCCAGAGGCCCCTGGAAAGGCTGCCCCAAGGCAAACCCAGGACGGCAACGGCCTCTGGTTTGATCAGTCGAGGAGAGCTCTGCTGCAGGTTTAAACAAGAAGAGCGACTTCTATAAGTCAACTTCATAGTTCTGTAACGAGGATTTTAGAAGTCTAGGAAATGGGCAAGCAGCCTGTGTCCTTGGGAACTGCCTGCTGCACATCCAGCAAAGGGAGGTCCTTGCCATGGCCTTACTGCTTCTCCTGGAAAAGGTGGATTTGAGCCCCTCACATCCCCCCAGGTGGAACAACACGGAACTGCAGCTGCTGAGACCGGCCACAACCTCAGTCTTCTTCACACCCACTTTTTTTTTTGAGACAGTCTCGCTCTGTCATCCAGGCTGGAGTGCAGTAGCACAATCTCAGTTCACTGCAACCTCCGCCTCCTGGGTTCAAGTGATTCTCCTGCTTCAGCCTCCCGAGTAGCTGGGATTACAGGCATGCCCCACCACGCCCAGCTAATTTTTGTATTTTTAGTAGAGACAGGGTCTCACCATGGTGACCAGGCTGGTCTCGAACTCCTGACCTCATGAAGCCCGCCAAAGTGCTGGAATTACAGACATGAGCCATTGGGCCCAGTCTACACCCACAATTTTTAACAGAACAGACCAATCTGGGGGAAAGTCAGCAGGAGAAACTAATAGACAATTTGACAATAAAGAATCCAGGTGTGGTAAAAATGATTTATTTTTGAAGCACAGTAACAGCTATGCAACTGGGAACATTTCATTTACCTGTCCCATCTATGTTTTTGTGTCACAAAGACATATACTAAGACTTCGGAAAAATTCCAAAGGGGATTACACTTGAAATGTGTTGTGTTTTCACTTTTTTTTCTTTTTTGTACTTGTCTTATTCACAGTGAATCAAATAAAATAGCTTTACAGCTTACTAAAACTCAAACTTGTTCTCAAAGGAAGCAGTTTAAACATTTTAACTGAAAAATCAGCAACACATCGATTCTACATCAGGAAACCGAACCAGTGGACAAAAAGTAGCTCTAATAGAAAGCGTGTCTTGTCAAAAGGTTAAAAATAAAAATAAAGGCCCAGTGCAGTGGCTCATGCCTGTAATCCCAACATTTTGAGTCTCTACAAAAAACAGAAAATATTAGCTGGACGTCGTGGCGCAACTGTAGTCCCAGCTACTCAGGAGGGTGAGGCACAAGGACTGCTTAAGCCTGGGAAGTCAAATCTGCAGTGAGCCCTGACTGCACTACTGCACTCCAGCCTGGGTGGCAGATGACAGAGTGGAATCCTGCCCCGTTCCTCTCCCCCGCCAAAAAAAAAAAAACCCACACACATCATGAGGAAAATCCAACTTATTTACAAAGAGTGGGCCATCTTCAGGACTGAGATCCCAATATGATACAGTAAAACTGTGGGTGCACCGTCCTCTTTGGAAAAAGGGGGTGAGGAACAGGTCTGTCTCAATCCATGCTAAGAATCTGGTTTTAAAAGATCAAAGGAGTCTCAAAGAAAAACCTAACATCACTGTATGCCGCAGGGGTGTCATTTACCATGAATGAAAGGGCTGGGAACGCACTCTCCCTGAGGTGCCCCCCAGGCCTGCCAACCTCTCATGAAATCTGGTAGTAAACTGTCAAGAGATCCCTCTGAACCAGGAGGCTGCAGGAAGCTTGTGGGGTTGAGGGCTGGTCTTCTCCTGGGAAGTACCTCCTGCTTTCCCCAAACTGCCAAGCTACCAAGCCCTCTAATGAACAAATAAACCATAGCCTGGAGGGCTGGCACGGTAACCAGAATGGGTGGATGCTGCCAGGAGAGGCCAGGGTCCCCTGAGGATTCGGGGGTCGGCACTCTGGCAGCACCATCTCACTTCTTAGCCATTGCAAATGGGTAGGCCCTTTCTCTTCAAACCCAGAGCAGTAGCTGGCTGAAAGAAACGGCACCAGGAGGATGGCAATAAACTCTGACTGAGCGCATGTCAGCTTTCTGCTGACCCACCTGTAGATTTCAGAGCAAAAGTCCTGACTCACCTAGTCCCAGTTTAACTGTGAAGTGTGGCTCTCGTGCTTACAGTCCCAGTTACTCAGGAGGCTGAGGCAGGAGGATCGCTTGAGTCCAGGAGTTTGAATCTTCAGTGAGCTATGATCACACCACTATACTCCAGACAGAGTGACACAGTGAGACTCTGTCTTTTTTTTTTTTTTTTAAGATGGAGTCCCGCTCTGCCGCCCAGGCTGGAGTGCAGTGGCATGATCTCAACTCACTGCAA